ATTCTGTTGTTACTTTGTACAACCCAACTTCCCACAACTTATTTTATTCTAGCAGCAGGTATCGACAGTTTATTTCATTGTGGAATGTTGTAATGTCATGTTAAAGGAGGAAGGAGGTGCTGCTTACAAATTCTGAATGTAAGATTGATTGGGCTTGAAGCTCAGAAGTAAATGGATAACAAGAAACTTAATAAGGGGATTTTTGGAGCTTTACATAGGTATGGTTATCTCATACTTAAAGACTTTGAAATTGAAATTGCAGCAGGGCAGATTTTCATTTTAGCCGGTGGAAATTAATGTGAAAATGTATATTTTCCCAGTGTAGTGTTAATTTCTTGAAGCAGAAATGCCTTTTAAAATGGATGCAGGAACAGCAAGAGTTTTAAATGGAGCCTTAAGTCACTTTTCGACCAAAAGTACCAGGGACTTTTAAGTCCCCAGATCTCTTTTCAAGGTTCCTTCAGCCCACTGTTGTGTGCGTTTCCACCGTGGTCTAAAGACCTGAGAAGAGAGGCAAATTAACCAGCTGACATAGGCTGTAGACCTATACGCCGTACAAAGGAATACACAGGCATCATTATTTGTAACTCTAGGCTTTGCTTGACCATTAAAGCAGCTTTTTTGTGTGGGAGTATAATAAAGACATGCAATAAATTTTGTTACACATTTAATAACAAACTGGATAAAACCATCAAGTTCTTAAAATAACTCCAGCACAGATAAAGAAACTCAAAAATAAAATTGCGACCGTTTTGAAGTTAATACAACATTTCCAGACCAGCTGCAGCACTCACGTCTGTGTCTGCCTAAGCGTCGGAAGAGCATGATGTTTAACAAGCTTTATTACCTGCTGTAACCAGCTATTCCGCTTGTTTTGGAGAGGAGGAGACCGACTTCGGCTCAGTGTAAAAACTTCCTGACTGATGAAAACTTAAAACAACAACTTCGGACCCAGTATTTAGCGTAACTCCATCAGCTGTTCGCTGTAAGCACACTGGCTGCTATTCCCGAGCAATACATTTAATGCCAACGTAAGAACTCAGGTGGACATCAGTGAGACTTGTGCAGATATCTGACTGTTGATTGTGATTTATTGGCTTGCAAACAACGGTGGAAAAGAGAGGAGCAGTAGTAGAAAATCACCTGACATTCTCCAGTTAAAGCCAGTAGCCTCTACTCACCCATTCAGAATTTCACTGCAAGGCAACAAGAAGTTATTTTTAAATATCATTCCCAGCTTTGTTTTTTGTATGCATCTTTTTTCCTCTTAGGTCTGAGCATGCCACCAGAGTTGCTGAATGGGAATGGGCCACTGGGTGGTGCTGGAGAGGCCCAGATGGAAAGCATGAGCATGGAGTTGGCAGCGACTGTAACCTCAGGTGGGCCAGGAACCTTTGCATTTGGGCTGAATGGGTTTGCACCACCACAAGGGCCAGGGCCCATCGATGAGTGTGAGAACCAGGGGGTACAGGAGAGGCTGAGCCCCGCAACTAAAGAGCTGGAGGTCATCACTGTGGCGTCAATGCAGACTCCTTGTCGCTGCACCAACTCTTATGCCTACCTGTAAAGGGCGTGTGTGTAGTTGCACACACTAATGTTCACATTTGTGCAGTATATGTATTTGGTATCGTCTGGCTATATTTGTTTTTTTTTGTTTTTTTTTGTTTTTTTTGCACATACATGCATAAAGGATCTGGTTATCTTGTTCTTGATCTTGTTATGATCTGGTGGTACGCTACATTTGAAAGATGTATAGCAGTGTGTGTGCTGTATTTTGTACTTTTCCATGTTCCCAGTTGTACTTGGATAGATCAAAGTATTCAGAGTTCTTTGTTATATAGTTATACTTAATGCATACGTCCAGTTATACAGATAATTATTGTGTAATCCCTAATTTTTTAGGTTTATAATAAAAGGATGAGTTTTGTTTTGCACAATTATACAGCAACATCCAAGATAAAACTATTGGCATTCCCCCGACCAGTGCAGTGGGTCACCAGTCCACATATAGGTCATATTGGCTTAATGGAAAAAATAAGTCTTGGTCACATTTCAAATCAGTCTTAATTATTGCTTGTCAAATTATGCATTGTTGCATAATAGGAATGGGGGCTACTTCATTGGTCACCTGAAGACTACTGGTCCTGTGCTGGGAATGTTGGTGAATTTCAGTATGGAATAGGGAATGTGGTTATATGTTGAAAAGGTTTGATGTTTCTATACAGTTATATTAAGAGAAATGGCTAAAAATTTATTTGATTAGTATACATGTGAAATGGAATATCTAAAGTGGTGATTGGATGGTTTTCTTGGGAATGTTTTCCACCCAGTTGAGTTTGATAAATTGAATTAAATATTCTTTGAGCATTTAAATAATGCTCAATTGATGATGACATTTATGTAAAAACAATGAGTGCCTAAACACTCTTTTTAATCTACACTGATGTTAATTGCTACTACACATTAGCTGATGTTTTGTACTAAAGAATTACCTTATGCCAAAGCATATCCCAACATGAATGTAGCTGGTAAAGTATAAACAATTCACTGTGCAGCTTTTAAAAAAATTTGTTTTGTAGTTTATAAATAATCATGTACTAAGACATAGTGGTCCATAGGTTTGGAATTTGGTTATTCCTCAGTTTTTTACTTTTGCGTTCATTTTGGCTGTGCGCTTATTTGAATCTCAAGTGTGGTAAATGTTTACTGTGTGTGTGTGTGTGTGTGTGTGTGTGTGTGTGTGTGTTAGCAAAATTTTCTTGGCAACTAGCAGGGCTTGCACATGTGTATGTTATATAATAATACCAGGTCTGATTTTGAAATTGGTAATTGGCCATTTTACAATCAGTAGTTAGTTATGAATAAACAGTACTGCTCAAGAAAATTTGCATGGATTTGCAAAAAGCCTTATTTCTTGAGCTGTACTGAGTAGTTGAACAATAACTTAATGTAGATTGTTTTCAACTTTTATATATAGTGGTAAGGGAAATTCTTTCTGTATTTTATAGAACTATTTCATGTTGCAGGAGGTTTCTGTGTATTTTGTTTGTCACGTCAGAAGATTTGAGTGCATAGTCATTCAGTTTGAAACATCCAATGCTTAGTACTGAGCAGGTGTAGCTCTGTACTTGATTGTGTGAAATTATTAAATGTTGATCAATTTTATAAATGTGACTGTGGTGGACTTTTGTTTTCTTGATGTATTCTGATGCATCTGTCAAGTCCTGTCCCTATATCAATTTTTATTGGCCTGCAAAAAAGGTGGAATACACTTCATATTAATGCAAAGGAAGGATTATAAAAGTTTGACTAATTTTACTAGACTAAACTCTAATTACATCACATCTACTCATTATGTTGGTTTTGGATTATGGCATGCCAACACATCTGGAAGACTTAAGATTTTCTGCAGTATCTTAAATTACACCGTGGAGACAGAACTAGGTCACTGTGTCATACAGCAGTAAGACAAAGCAACCACAGATCAGAGTGTGGCCTATTTAGAAGATCTCAGGTCAAAACTTGTGAGGTTACATTCGGCTCTGGAATGTGTGTTGCAATTTATTGATCTACTCTGAGTAATCCAATGGAAAAGCCGAAAACAATTTTTCCTAGTGTGTTGAAATACCAAGCTTCTTTGTAGTTGGCTGTTCATAACAAGCCCCCTTTTTTAATAATTGTGCAAAACAAAATTCATTGTGTTTTGTTTTCCCGGTCTCTCTTGCTATATTCATAGAAGCAGGAATATGATCACAAATTCATTATGTATATGCCTTGACTATCTGTCTCATTTCCAGTGGCAGGTGAGAGAAACTGTGAGGATTTTTCCTCAAATGGTCACAGTCAACCACAGCTTCCATTTGGGTGTGACCCAGTAGCAGAAACTCTCCATGGCCAACTCCTCTACAGTGACTCCCCTGAGAACAACAGCACAACAGTGGAACACCAGAAGTCTGTGAAAGCAGCACAGTTGTATGACCATGCCCTCTTCAGTACCATGCTTCTTTATCATGGGTCCTAAAGTACAAAAGATCTAGCCGACAGGCCGTCCTTTTTTGCCTAAAAGTCATATAAGCCTAAACAAGCATTTATTTGCCTTAAAGTCAGTGATTGGTCCAGTTATTCATTGACATTATTATTCATTTTCTGAAAGGGCCGGCCCATTGTTATGGATGAAATTAAATTTGTAACTGATAAAGTGGATTACGAAGTGTTTGCTTGTGTTGTTAAAAAAGTGTTTTTGTTTGGCTTATTTAAGTTTGATTAAGCTTTGTTAGGCAGTAATGTAAGCACCTGTATTGAACCACTGCCAATACTTGCACATAAATGCATTTATTTTCTGTTTCAAATAGAAGTGGGGTGATCCCTCACTCTTGATGTTAATAAAAACAGTACAAGTACATCCCATTTTACTCATTAATAATAATAAAAAAAATAGTAAAAGTTGATGATTCTGTTTATTTTTGAAGTGCTTCGCATGTATTGATAACTTGTGGAATATTTTCAGACATCTGCTATTGTGTCCACTTTTTATAATATAAAAAGCCAAAGCATTTTTTTTGTCTTAATGTGTATTTATGAGCTATCAGCATTCTTCAAAGTGGTGGTTAGTCTGTTGTGTCCAGAAAACTGCTCTATAAACTGCAGCAGATAAGGCCGTAAATGGTTGGGCTACAGTCACTTGTCACCAGGAGCGACCTTCATCATCACTGCGCTGCACAAACACCACGTCACTCTGGCCACGCCCCGTGACAGACGACACCATCAAAGAGAAGGAGGGAGAAAATACAAGTCATGTTAAATAAAACAAGTCAATAGATACATGTATCTTACGGTTATATATCGCAGTGTATTCTGAAGTATATTTTATGAACGGCACAAGAGGCATATACTGATTATCCAATGACACAAAATTCTGTTGAACTTGGCACTCTAAATTGTCCCCTCCTCTTTCCATGATGTGGTATCGTCCTATGAACCTAGGTGGGGAGGATTATCGAGTGTCAGGAAGCGTTGGGGTTGCGGTGAACGGGGTTACTGTGGAGGTGTCAAATAACTTTTAAATACAACCTTTTTTATTTTATAAAATAAGCTCCTATTAACGTGACGTGTTCAACAAGTTAAAGTATGTCAACCCCGGCTAGAAGAAGACTTATGAGAGATTTTAAACGGTGAGTTGATGGACAGAAATTATACCGACGCCGATAATGTTAGTTAGCTATGATTCGTCAAAAACAGCTAACATTAGCCTAGCTTTCGATAGCTTAGCATAGCTAACCAGTATTTGTCTATATAACTAACCTATTGGTTCACCAATCTTCACAGACCGTACGAACGGAAAACAAACACGATGTGACGTTAAATATTCTTGTGTTCAGAAACTTTTCAGTGAAATATGGTTAATTTTGTAAAAGTACTTCCCTGGTAGCCAGAAGCTAACAGTGCTAGCTAATACATGCTAACAGGTTAATCGACTAATGTTAACGTTACTGTCACAGTTTACGGCTGCTAGCTAAATCTTTAAAATAGCAAGCATTTTACGTTAAATTTCAGTGACATGTGGCCGGTTGACCATTTTATTATTGGGGGGGCACACTTAATGCAACGGAACAACCGTTAGTGTCCCATGAATTTAAGCCTGTCGTTTCATTAAGTCAGTGTACCCTGCTTACCAACATTAGCTTAACGTTATCTTAAAATGAAAGTTGTTTGTCAAAGATGTTCGGGAAGTTATTGTGATTTAACGTTAGTCTTAATCGAGATGTAATGCCACAACTTATTATCCTTTTTATATACAGTCTGTTATTATCCAGAGATCCCCAACATGCATTGTGTTGAACGTGAGAAGCACAACATTAAGCCAAAGCGGTAGCCACAATGTTTAACATTACTCGGGCTGCGTTTTCTCAAGTCTGCATCATGCTGTCTTCTAACAGTAATAGAACACTTTGTCCACGAAAAATCTGCATCGGGTGCCAATATGAGTAAATGAAATCCCTCCATATCCCAATTTAGATTAACCTGGCTAATTAGGGGTCCTCAAACATGTTTTGATCTGACAGTAAATTTCAGCTGCTCCAGATCCTTTGATTGTCCCGAGTATTAGCTTTTGTCTTTTAAGTTCAGACAGGACTCCTTAACCTGCAGGGATTTGGACAGGTCTTTTCAGGTGATGGGAGTGGAGAACAGCTGTATAAAGGACTTCTGGTTAAAACACTGTGGGGACATGAAATGCTATTCAAAATTTGAAAATAATTTTAAAATGTTGAGGTTATGATAAATGTTTCTAATAAATACACATTACATAGCCACTCCTATGAATGTCAATGTTCCTCTCAGTTATTGTGCCTTAATTAAAAGTTAGCGAGAACTTTAAGCTGCCACGGTGTTAGTCTCTGTACCACATTTAGGTTGATAACTAGTAAGTTCTGACATTAATGTTTATCTCAGCTGATAAAACCTTATGATGTTTCATTGTAGTTAATAAGAAATTACAATGCCCAAAACTTACGCAACTCACGGCACTGACTTGATTGGCAGTTGCTTGGTTGCTATCATGATATGTATATATTTTTTCAAAGCAGAAGGCGGACTTGCTTTCTTTAAAAATACGGAACACCAACCAGGGTTAAGTGTGCAAGTGGCACAAGAAAAGTGGGGAAGTTATAAATAATTTTGTAATGTGGCAACGGAGTCTGCTGTACCTGCCATCAGCCACGTTGGCAGATGGAGTTATATTTATTTAAAATATTAAATTGGCTGTGGCTTAATGTTGAAAGAGGAACAAGGCCATGTAATTCACTTGACTCTCACTTGAGTAGTCTGGCTGAATAAATCTATTTCCTTTCTCTTTTTTTTTTATGAAGACTACAAGAGGACCCTCCAGCTGGTGTCAGCGGTGCCCCATCTGAAAACAACATCATGGTGTGGAATGCAGTCATATTTGGGTAAAACAATGATGCACAGCCATACTTTCTATGGTCAGACAGACCAACTACAGATGTAAATGTACATTTGTGCATGAAGTATGAAATGAATGACAAATTTATTTATTTTTTCTCTAACCTGACAGCCCTGAAGGAACTCCCTTTGAGGACGGTAAGCATCTCACTGTGTTCATGACGTACCCTTTTGTGTAGTAACCCATATTGTCACTATATTGCATAGAAATCATATCTAGCATTGTAACTTGTCAGATTTAACTTAGTTTTTTGTGTCTTTGTACCAGGTACATTTAAACTCATTGTAGAGTTCACAGAAGAATACCCCAACAAACCCCCCACAGTACGATTTGTGTCAAAGATGTTTCATCCAAATGGTAGGAAAACTCTTATTTTCACCTTTTTATAGTGTTGATATTTGTTGGTCGTGTATAATTGTGTTTTTATCCACAGTCTATGCAGATGGCAGTATATGTTTGGACATTCTACAGAATCGTTGGAGTCCCACTTACGATGTCTCCTCTATTCTGACATCTATCCAGGTAGGAAGTAATCTCTATGAACAGGTCTCTGCACACAAATGTAGCCAAAGAAGATTTTGATATTTTCGGTTTGTAGTCCGAGTAGTGTCGACCAATCATGTTTGAGCAGGCTTTGTTGCATACTGTCCGTGTGGAGAACAGTGGCACCTCCGAACACATCGGCTGTTGCCTGATGATGTTTGAGCATTTTACCAATGTTGGAACCCTATATATTAGCTTTTTATTAATTTATCTGCATTCAAATTGCTGTCAGATGATAGCCAGTCGGTTCCAAGATTGCTAATCTGACTGTAAACAATGTCCGGTGCACTGAAGAGGAAGTCTTGGCCTGGATATCTGTTGGTTATACCAGAACCCCCAAAACACTGGCCGTTGCCCCCAGAGGCTAAATCTCTTAGACGATAGCCGATGCGCTTCGAGATAGGATAGGAAGTGTCAATAAACAACAATACAATAATAGCTGTAAATGCAGGTACCCTTATTTACTTCAAACATAAACTGAAAAAAAAGGCTGAGTTTAGTGATTTTTAAAAAAAACAACAAAAAAAACATCTTTACTAGATAAAGATTCAGATCATTCATTGTAAATCACAATTGTTACAAAATGTCCTGTTGTATACAATTGTACAAAATGAGTCCTCTGGGAAAAGGAAAATGCTGGGTACAAAATACAGTGAGATTTTTAAATTTAATGCAGGGCTGCTACTAACGATTATTTTGAGTATCGATTTAATTTATTAGTTTGATTATTTACTCAATTAATCGTTATAGTGAAGGTCCCTAGAGCCCAAGGTGATATCTTCAAATGTCTTGCTTCATCAGACTGACAGTCCAAAAGCTAAAGACATTCAGTTAAGGTTATAGAAGACTAAGGACACCAAAAGATAACATTTGAGAAGCTGAAACCAGAGAATTTTGGCTAATCGATTAATTAACCAATTATAGAACATTAATCACAGCTCTATTGTAAATAATTGTAGAGAGAGACTATTGAAAATAAATTGTTTATCCTTATTATATTGATAGTTTCATGCACTATTTTATTTGTTTAGTGGTAACAATAATTCTAATACAGAATAAAAAAATAAACTTGTTGCATAATAGTCAGATATTTTGGTCAAAGGTCAGATGACAAATTGAAAGATTCTGAAGTTGCTGCCGAAGCCCTGTTTAAAATGGATGTACCTGGAAACCGCTGTGTGTGTGTGTGTGTGTGTGTAAGTAGATGAATGGGTTGACACGTTTGTTAGTTGTCCGCTAAAACTTTCTCACTTTCAGTATTTATCCTCTTTTACTCAGTCTCTGCTTGATGAACCAAACCCCAACAGTCCAGCCAACAGTCAGGCAGCTCAGCTGTACCAGGAGAACAAGCGGGAGTACGAGAAGCGTGTGTCTGCCATCGTAGAACAAAGCTGGAGAGACAGTTGACCTGACAATCCTGATAGCTGCTCTCTCCATTGTTAAGCTGTGTGTGCTGCAAGTTTTAGTGGAGTACCTCTTAATTTTTGGGCCCCCCACCACCACCTTTTCCGATTTTAAGCTTTTATGCACTTTACCTTCAATTACCCTTCATAGAATGTTTTTTTTTTTTTTTTTCGTGCCCGCCAAGAGGGATTCATTTTTTCTAATATATCCTTTTCCAGTCCGTCAGGGGAAATGTGCTGAATCTTGCCTTGATGTTTTGTCTATGGACTCGTGGGCCATTACCCAAAAATTCTGGTTTTCTAACTCATTTAATAACTCCCCATGACTAATGATGTTAAATGTTTTGGAGGTGTATTAATGAAGGCATGGGTGCTCTTCTGTTGTGCTCCTCATCTCTTTCAGTTTTTCACAAGGCAGTTTGTCTGAGCTCCTATGAGATCCTACCTTTACCCTGGGAGAATGAGCAGCATGAGCATCAGGGACTACTACCTAAATCAGACATCTACACCATGTCTTACTGTGTTGTGAACTCTGTTACATGCATGACAGAAGGAGTGTATTCACGTTCTTGTTCAGTACTCATGTATATAAGAAACCTGCAACTGAATTTATGTACAGATTTTGCACTGGTTGTCCCCCATGTCATGTTTTTTCAGCACTTGTAAATAAAAAAAAGGCGAATCCATCTGTTTTGCGTGAAGCTTTTTATTGTAACTGCAAATTCTATATTATTTTCTTGCTTCGACAGGGGTTAATACTGATGCTGTGTCAAGTTTTGTGAGACCAGTATGTCAATTCAAGGCAATGCCAGTGAGGTAAACTGTGGTTTTGCATACAAATATAATCTAGTCCCTAAATAACATGGGAGTTATCATTGCTACATCAACATATTAAACATGCCAGAAATGCCACTGTTAAAGTTGTATCACTTGAAATATACACTAGAGCAACAAAACTCATCACTTGAGTTATAAGTGAAACTTTCTAGTGTGATTGACGGCTTATTTACAACAGATTACAAATGTAGGCTGAAATCACTTCCTATTTAGTATGTAGTATACTATATTTACACCTTTTTATTTGAATTGACTAAAATGTAAAGATTTTTTGTTCCTGTTCTCCATACTGGCCACAAAGAGATACCTCTTAAAGAAACTTAGTGATGGGCAACAAAATCTATAGTCCAGCGCATCTTAAAATTCCTTCTAAAGTTCAGCAAAAGCAAATGAGACTTCAGCAGTATCCAGTTACAGTCTCACTAAAACTCTGTAAAGCCAAAGGGGGCAGCAGATTCAGGTGATTATTCACTGTAGTTTCATTACTAAATGCCACCCCTTTCACATAGTCTTGATACATCGTTCAGAAATATCAATGATATAAGTATACTTTACTTCCTGCTAACAATCCCACAATGCGAAGTCACATTTTACAGAAAATCTGTTGTGACACTTATGTGATGATTCAATAAGATGCTCCACAATTGTCCAAAATCTCAGTTTACTGCTCACTACAGAATAAACTACTACAGTGTGTCTGTTAAATAGGAAGTAGTGCATGAGTGATTATGGACACAATAGTTTACTTAAGACAGGACACTGCACAATGATGTCACCTTCATTTTCTATGGATTCTTCACTTCACCCTGAATTGATGTAAACATAACATTCTTCTTTTGTTTAGAAATGTTTTATTTGTTAATTGAGCATATGTGAAGGGAGGAGGTGATGTTGCATGCATGATGACAAGGGGATGTAGGACAGCTGGCTACATGCAGGTTGTACTGTACTATGCTCATTCTTTACAAATGATCCAAACCAGGAGGGAGCAATCTTGTGTCTCAGCTATGCAGCTACAGTTACAAAAATAACTATTTACAGGATCCCTCACAATTCAAAACTTTTCAAAACAGTTTTGACAGTAAAGGGAAACAAAGAGGACATAAAATTACATTTGCGCAATAGTGTTCATTGGCCCAGACAGAGCGAGCTACCTGTTGTACGCCCTCTCCTTCTTGGCCCTCTCCAAGGCCTTGTCCATGGTCTTCTCATTCTCACCCCTACACTTGGGGCAGTACCACTTGCCCTTGGGCTTATGATGGAGCCCAACACAGGAGAAATGAAACCACTCAATGGGACATTCATCGTTGTCGCAGCCAATCATTTCTCCGTAGGACACCTGCTCACACAGGCAGTATGTTGGCTCATCTGGATCAATGGGCAGGTCTGGGGGTGATACTTCTCTCTCAGACTTTCCTTTTGACCTTTTCTTCTTCTTTGAACTTGTTTTGGCCCTTTTTTCCCGGGATGCCCCCACTCCCACTTCCTCAGCGTGATCCAGACCTCCGTAACTTTCCCGTGGTTCTCCATTTTTCTGACGTCTCGAGCGTTTCCCTCCAGCCTTGTCTCCGCCGCCTGAGCCGGGGGTGACCTCGTCACGCTTCTTGTCATGGTGGCTAGTTTTGCCCGGCGTGATGGTGGCTGACGATGATGATGATGACGACATCATGGATGCTGCAGTGGTTGTCATGGATGTTGCTGTGGGGACGTGGCTCTCTGGGACTTCTTGAGAGGAAAGGAGAAGTTCAGAATGCCAGTCCAGCTGTCGTGTTCGGTTCTCAACCAACTCCACCTGAAACAAAGAAAGTACACGGTGACTGAAGTGCAATTTATACTTATACGCCCTAACCTACAGTGTAAGCAATGCACGTAGCCATGCATGTTATACTTGCCGGCCAAGCAGGCTAACTTCCAGTTTAGCCCTCCACTAACTTGAGTGGGGGTTAAAGGATATACGTGCAGCTCTTGTAGACTTTTCAAATGTTATCGACCGAATGGATCACATTCTGATAGTGACATTTCGTGTGGGTAGTGACACTCAAATATATTGATCCACCATTTTACAGCCACTGGATTAGCCGCTAGTAAAACTTACTTCAAACCACGAAGCACTACATGTGGGCTTGGAGGAAATGCAAGGCTACCCAGCCGACCAATTGCAGTTCTTACGGTCTGCCGTGACGCGACGTCTAGTTACATTTTTGGGAAGGTGCACGTCAGGCTACGGCATATGTTACGGGGTTATGTGAAGGCTACAGCGTAGATTTGAAGCAGAAGTATAATCAAGCTTAAAACTTGTTTAGTTGGGTAGATGATGTTGTAACCTGTAGTATGGCCTTCCTTGGATAAATCATACAGCTTTACAATGGTTTAACCTCTTCTCTAAGAATTAAAAATAAAAGCTGAAAGAGATGCATCCACTGCCATTGTGACATACCAAACATTTGTTGGAAGTGGAAGATTCAATATGGTGTTGTTTATGATAACCCTCTAGTGTGGAATTATAAGAAGACGACTCAGTGTTTACTGCTGTTGTTCCTGGTACTTATTCCAGTGAAATTCAAATCTGTGTAAAATGGAAAACCAGTTACACCCCAATACAAAAAGGCCTTTTAGCAGGCCTGTAAAACCTTTTTTACTTTGTATGTACTCAGGGTAGATTATTTCTGAGCACACATGTTCCAGGAGAGCACTTATCTATGCTCACACAGTTACACACACACTCTGACCTTGAAGTTTGCCAATTAGCAGCTCGACTGGAGCAGCTACAGGGTGTTCTTTACGTACCATTTGACCAGCAATCTGGATCTTCTCATCTCCGAGCTCTTGACTGCGAATCAGCGCCCTCTGAATGGATAACTGAAGCTTTCGCCTCTGAAAAGAGTCAGATTCCCGGCGATACCGTTCATAAGCATCATCAAGCTCCTTCAGAACATCTGCCAATAAATAAATCAATGGGGGGGGGACAAGTTGGAATAAGAATACTGAAATTCAACATATTCTCAAAATGTACAGACAAAAGAAATGTCAAACTTTCACCTAATTACATTTTGTAATAGATAATTTCTCCAATGCATGTGTGAAGGGTGTTGGTGAAAATTTTGTGAACAAACTGCACTATTTACTATATACCACTGTATGTCTGCCTAGTGTAGCAAGTACTTGTGGCTGTAATAAACTGTGTTACTGTTCTGTAACATCACTTAACTAAAACTAATGCTGTTTAATATGATAGCCAATAGATAGTGCCAAAATGGTTATAATGGTAATTTTGGAGAATGTAGTTTCCAAAGCTGTTTTTTAGGTTTTTGTATTCTGTGAATTTCTACTAAGAGGTGTGATTATAATAAGTCTAACTAGGTGAAACAAATATGACCACACCTATATGTTAAGTTGTATACATTATTGCAGTGTTGTTGTATTAGATTGCATTTGCAAGTTGTACATAATAAACTGGCAACTGAGTGTAGTTTTTGGGTTCAGGTGTGTCACTTATCATGCACGGAATGAAATATTCAAGTACATTATAGTTTGTGATCTTATCTGGAGACAAATCTGTTAGTTTAGTCTGCTGTCAATGGACATGAAAGGTGCATCCTGTATGTTGAACAAGCATGCCATTTAAAGCAGGAGATGATACCGACTACTTCCGGGGAAGGTGATGAGACTGCTGAGTGGGCAAAGTGGTCGACTTTAGGCACAATCTAGTGAGAGAGGTTAAGAGCTATGGTTTCAGACATGCAGGTGCAATGTACTCTGTAGCTTTACATTATAGTTACATGTCTACAATGTGCTATGCAAAGTGTTTAGCAGGAACACCAGTACCTGCTCATTTACTTGTTTACAATGAAGTAAAACAGGAAATAGTTTAGAAGCTAATTGAGTGCAGTTGTTCTGACTTTATAAGTTGCTGTTGACAAAACATTCATATATAAATGTGAATTTACTATCCACATTTGCTGAATTGTATGCCCATCTGAAATGCACACTACCACTGGACAATAAACCGCTGCTCACCTTGCCTGTTGACATCCTAATAACATATACTGTTTGCCTTTTTTTTTAACTAAGGAAGCTGTAAAGTAAAATATTTAACTATGTTTATTGTTACAACCTGATTTCTGTAATGTCTTTAGTTTTGATTTATGTAGAAATATTTGAAAGGGATTTGTGTCCTTCGCATCAGTGACTGCATGGTCTAGGTTCTTTACCTTGATACCTGGCATCAATTTCCTTCATGAGAGACACACTCCTCTGCAAATCAAAAGGTAATGACTCCACCAGGTCCAGATACTCCTCAACATAATTCACAACAATGTGGCTTGGGTCACCATTGGCCGGGTTCAGCATTGCGGCTCCGTCTTTACCCCTGGACGTCCCCGACACCTGTACCTGTTAACAACAAATCATTATTAAAATGTGTGTTGATGCTGTAAAGCCACAAGTTACTGCTCTTGCAGAATGAACGTTAATGCTCAAGTATTTAGAAATAGGTGTTTTCTTTGCAACCATTACTTCATTTACTTGCATCAGACTTTCCTGCATTGCTTCTTGTTTTCCAGTATAAATGATCTGAAATCAGATCGGAAATATAAACGATAATGGTCAATAAGTGAAAGGCGGGGGGGGGCAACTAATCTGGAGTCAGCCATCCTGAAACATGCAACGTGTACTATAAATCTGCCAACAGAGAGCTAACTAGTTTGTGACCTTAGAAAAATAACTCGACAAGAATATAAGTAACTATAAATAAGCGCCAGGTAACTTAATATAGATAACTACCCACTTGAAGTTGTTAGTGCGTGCACCTCATGGTGTCCTTTAAGGTCTTCTACGCACCAACTGAGACAGCAAAGACAACAACAGAAACATTAATGTTAGCTAGCTAGACTTCCCAATGAACTAGCCGTCACGCTAAAAATCGTTACTATGGTTGTCGATGAGTTATATTAATAAAAATAAATTCACTCCTGACCTTAAACATTTCCATCGACAACAGCTGAGTTCCAGCGTGTAATGTAAATGATAATTATCGCTAACTTCAGCTAACGTGTTTTACACTGCTGGCGAGTTTAACGTTCACGTCAAAGTAACGTTAACTTAAAAATAACCAACTTTCTCTTCTTTGCAACTTTGCCTTACTATTTTTCTACGCGATACGCACAACAAAATACGATTTTCCTCGTGACGTGCATTAACTTCAGTCGCTGGCTGACATCGCTGAAGGTTTAAACCAACGATGATTTATTCGATGCGTCAAACACAAAGATTATTAACGTAGCAACGCCAAGGGAAACATTAAACAGCCACTTCATTCACCCAGGGGCAAACCCCACAACACTTTAGCTGATAAGCTAACGTTACAGAAACAAAGACAAAACACAATCGTTGTGACAGTTTAAGCGGTCTTATTTGTATCATATTTGCTTCAATGTAACGTTTTCTGTTAGCCAAATTAGCCTCTGTTAGCTTTTAACGCATAACGTTACTGAACGAGCCACGACACTAATAAACGCAAAAACAAACGCTCAACATAACTTTATTACACTCACGTAGCAGTTAGTAAGGCGGCTTACAGATGAACTTACCTGTGCGGATATCAGTAGTTTTTCTACAGCAAACGTTTAACACACTGTGATGCTGCTCTGACTCTCGGTGCTAACGCTACGTCGTGTACGGACTGCAGGTCCTACTACTGGCCCCCGACAGCAGCTAACGTTAGCTGTTAGCTGAAGTGCCTGAACAAATGTTTTCAGTTGTGCGCATGCTCTGCAACCACAGATACAGGTTGAATGAATTAATCAAATATACAGTGGTGGATCAAGTATTCAGATGCTTTACTTAAGTAAAGGTACTAATAACTCACTGTAAAAATAGTCTGTGAGAAGTAAAAGTACTGCATTGAAAATGTTACTTGAGTAAGTATGGAAGTATAATCAGGAAAATGTACATAAAGTTTTAAAAGTACTCAATGTCCTGTGACTGTTATACTATATTATATATTATATTATTATTCCTCACGCATTAATGTAAAGCAGGATTTTATTGCTGTAGTTGGTTGATGTTGAACTATTTTGTATCAGACTGCAGCTAATGATTATCTTCATTATGGAGTAATCTGCTTATTATTTTCTATATTAACCGATGGTAGACATTTTGAAATAGTGAGAAATGTTGTCACAGTTGCCAAGAGCCAAAGTGACGCCTTCACAATGCTTGTTTTATCAGTCAAAACCTCAAAATTATTATATATACATAAAATAATCAGAAGGAATCAAAATAGTTGCCAATTTATATTATATATATATTATAACAAAACATCATATTTTATAAAATCTTAATATGTTGTGTGTAAAAATCTTACTTTGTAAAGTAACTAGTAACCGAAGATGTCAGATAAATGTAATTAATTAACAAGTACAATATCTCCCCCTGAGATGTAGGAGTATAAGTATAAAGTGGCATTAAAAGAAAATCCCTCTGATTTGTACTTTTTTTAACATTGTCATTTACATTTTAACTTTGTGATACTCAACCAGCACCTAAAATACCCTTCTTTCATCTCATTGACTGTGTAGTTAAACAGACATGACCATGTTACAAATCAATATTGCCACCCTGTGGCGATAAAAGCACGTTGCCATGATATTGGCTGCTTTTGAGAACTTGTTCAAAAGGTCTCTTGCACAAAATCTGATTTATTTTTAAAATTTAAAGAAGTTTCTGGTTTACTGTGCACCCATTTATCTTACCACCTCAGTCTCTTTGGTGGGCTGTGAAGAATTCAGCTATTGCAACATGTTTGGTTGAATACATTCATGATACTACTTCAGAGATGGAAGACCAAGACCGCGTTTGTTGGTTTTCTTATAGGGTTCATTTAATACACCTCAAACAACAAGTCAGTGTATATTTTTGCACCAGATCGCCCTCACCTTCATTCAAATTCAGCTTGATGAGAACATTTTCCTCTAGTCCACCCATTTGCTATATCAACAGTTTCAGAGAATGTAAAATTGAGTATGTATGTATAGCTTTTTAAACAACAATTGTGATTTCAGTTGGCCGTTTTCAGCTTTCAAATATCTTTTTGAAGGCTGAGCCAATCTCCTGGATCATGTCTGATGTGGTGGTGGACCTGCCATGTCGCTGGAATGCTTGACTGTTGCACTGTCTTGTAAGACAGCAGGCCCCGAATGCTGCAACCACTGAAGGATTCACACTGGAGGAGGACAAAAAAAATTACAGATTAGGAAATGGAGAGAAATAAATGGTGCTATACACACTAGTATTAACACACAATGCACAAACATGTCTTTACCTTTTGATCATCCCAACTGCAGAGGCAGCATGTGCCCAGTGTGCCAAAACTCCCATAGATCCGGATAGAAGATCACCCTGTCCACCACATCTTCTTCCACTGCCCTCAATACTGCATGAGATCACTGAAAACAAGAAGGCACAACTTGATATCACACTCATGAAAGAAGGAGATCCAAAGGTTCTCAGATCCGAGAAATGACTTACACAAATAGAAAAGGTGAAAGATTGGCTGGGAAAGTTTGTCTCATATATATATTTTTTTTTTCTGTGCATGGGCTTGATACTAACCCTTACTGCCGTCTGAAATGAAATCCTGTTCTCCTTTTAGCACCAAAGTGAGGTTGCCCATGGCTGCACTGAGCTGCATGACGCTGCGTTGATGATCACTGCTGTCCATGGGCTCATGGTGCTAAGGCAGAAACACACACACACACACAGTTTAACAGACAGCATTGTATGTTTTATGCCATCAACTGGTGACTGACTCAACTCTGCAGAGACCCACCAGTGCCTCATACAGTCGGGTGAACTCCATGAAGTTAGGTGTAAGGATGCCCTTCTGGTACCCTTGAATAACAGATGGCTGCTGTGTTACTAGCCATAATCCGTCCTGTTGAAAACAAACAAATGACACACACACACACACACACACACACAAACACACACACACACACTCAGTGATTGTGTATGACTTTGTAAATAATATCCCATCTGTTCAACAGCTGGAACTTACTGCATCAATGACTATAGGGATGTCTCTTGCTTTAGACTTCTCAATCACCTCCTAAAAGAGAGAAAACACATGTACTTGTTTCTTCAGATTAATCTTTAAACTGGATTAAAGTTCAGCTACAACTCCACAGTACAACTGTCCTATTTACCCTGACAGATATTCGAGTTTCAGGTGTATACATTTCTTTACCCACAAAAGGACAGATGGCTTAAAGTTCAGAGTCACAGTATCACAAGTATAACAGTCTCTCATTTCTTTGACATTCTCAGAAATATACATGCCATGTTTTCTGGGAAATGAAATTATAATTTTCACCGTTCTCACTCACAGGGAACCACAAACAAAGACTTGTGTTGTGCAGCTTTAAGTCGTCACTAACAATTGTTAAATATGTGATTTTACTTAAGTGTTGTGGTTATGCACAAGCAGCTGGTCCAACAGACTGTTTGAGTGCAAGGAAGAGTGAACATATTCTACATGCCTTGGTTGTTTTCAGTAACAAGTCTTCTCTCCCTAGACCTGGTCCCACCACAAGGCCGTGCAGTCTTGGGAGCCATTTTTCTATCTCTTCCACTGCATTAGGACTGTCCCTTGACACACACACACACACACACACACACACACACACACACACACACACACACGTTAGATGTGTTCGAATGCACAAACGATCACAAATCTTACCCTTGTTAGGCTCTTATTCCCAAAAGCAATTTTTTTTTTTTATGCATTACACAGAAATAATCCCGGTTTTCATTGATAAAAACTCGTATGAATCAATTTACACACACCCATTCATGCACGATGAAGACCAGTAGTTGAAAGGAAGGATGCGAACATGCCTCTGTGGCTCAAATTACCTCTATGTCCATTGCCAAAATTTTGAAGAGACCATATCTGCTTTATTGTTGCTGGGATATGCTATTTGCTCTCCACTACTCTTAACAATTTCGGCATGTTTCTTTGAAGCCTAAAGGTGTATATACAGTTGCTAGTTTATTAGGTACACCTAGTTAAAACTAATTCAGTCTAACACAACAGTAAAAAAGCAATATATCCTCCCTTTATGAAGGTTATAATGTTCCATTTTTATTTAGAGAGTCGTTGATTGAACTCTACCATCATTTTGTAGGAGACAGGGGTGTTTCTGTTATTTAGCTCAGTGGTTCTCACTGTTATTTTCAATATTATTCCATCCATAAGTGACATAATGTATGACTATTTTAGTCATAGATTTCATATACTTTCTGTAATAAAACATCTAAAAGCAAAATTGCAATCAGATGGGAGACACTGGGACAGAATTTTATCAAATGGTGGTCTGTTCTCTAATTTGTGTCAGTTAAGGGGTCCTTGATGTGAAAAACCAGTAAACCACTGATTTACCGCACACTAACGTTTCAACAAAAATGTCGAGGTCACGCATTTGTTTTAGCTCGGTGTACCTAACGAACAGGTAACTGAGTGTAGCTGATGTTAGATTCAGAAATGTCAGTTCACATGCACTTGATTAGCAAACACTTGGCATGTCATTGTCATTAATAACAACTACATTCCATTTAAGTGAGCTAGTTCCAGGCTCCTGGTATTGTGCATGCTGGCTCACTGGGACACTTTATGTAACTGAGCCATTGTTAACTAAATGTGCTTCACATGTGCTTTTCCTGCTATTGTAAGCTAAATGTCTGCTGTGAATAAGTCACTCTTGTCACTTTCACATGTCTTATATTGATTTTCACTGAAGGCCCTTTGGCGATTCTGACACCAGAACCCACCCTCAAAGTAAAGCTCCCTGTCTACCTACAGTTACATCTTTGCTTACCTTAGGAAAACAAAGAGCTTATAGGCATTATGCCATAAACAGATTATCCACTCATCATGGTGAGAAAGCACCATGACGGCCAGAACAACTTGTAACCCTTCATCGAAAATGTGTAGACTAATTATAGGCAATTAGGAAAAAAGACCTTATACTGTGTTATAATTCTACTATTAATCCCTAACAACAAGCATTACAAAAGGTTTACAACAGCTCTTATAATGTATTCTGAAAGTGTTACAATATGTTACGCAGGTATCGTCTGTACTACATTATAAATATGGGCTTCATAGAAATTGTTACTGCAGTTTTCTTTGACGGATTAGCCTAGTTTTTGTGATTTGTGAACTACAAACACACATACTGAATTATGGCCCATCAACAGGACATTCAGATCATAATTGGTCCAGGTAGAGCTTTACTTACAGAACAGGATGAACTATGAGCTCAGGGCTGTATGATTTGATTACAGGTGCAGCATCTTTGGTGCAGAACACATGAGACAAGTCAGCCCCCTGGACACAAGAAAAGGACACAGTCACAGCACCAGACTGAGTAGCATTAATGATAAATCTGTCAGAAGCATGATCAGAATTACCGCTTACCACTTTCAATGCAGAGATGGCAGCAAAGTATGGAGCTCCAGTATAGCTGTCAGGAGGTGGAGAAAATTAAGGCAAAGAATAGCAAATTACACTTATGTTGGATGAATGGTGTTAATATGCAGGATGAGTATGACATACTCTTGGCATCCTCCAACGATCCCAATACGTCCATCTTGTCCCTTGTGCTTTTTGGATGTCAGTGGAGGGACTATACTCTTTACCATATAGAGGATGTCATCATCCATGCCTCTGCGTGATGTAGACCCCAAACTGTAGTAGCGTTCAAACACTGAGGAAATAAACAAAGTGACCACTTTGAAGTTTAGCCTGAGTCAGTGTCTAATCTACATTTTTACCTTCCACACACACACACTAAAACAGAGATAATAATGTGCTGTGAGTTAAATATATTAAACAAACAACCTAATTAAAGAAAAACAGTGAAATGGAGTAATGGCTCCCTCATTGTGCCTTCACATTACAGCTGATACGCCTTTCATTTCTGTTTTCTCTTCATACAAATCCACCTCAAGGCTGCACACTTGAAACCGAAGCTGATACCTAATGCCTGGGGATCTGGGTTCAACTGTTGACTTTGCTGGGTGAAACAGTCTGTCTGGGGTGAAGGGCGTCTGAGATAACCGGACTGGCCACGTGTGCATGACGGGGACGCACTGGAGAGCCCGGGAGCATGGGCTGGAGGAGCCGTTTTGGAGGGAGTGTTTGCAGGGCCTGGTCTGGCAGAGGAGATGCTGGAGAACATCTGCCCGAGCATCTGAAGCATGTGCAGCTCCCTGCTGTGCTCAGCTTCTCTGCGACGGTCTTCCGCCTGCAAGCGCTGCTCCTCCATCCGGTAGAAGCTGTCCTCTGCCTGGGCGCTCTGCTCCAGAAACTGCTCCATTAGTTTCTCCATGGGGAAGTTAGCACGCCGCTTCCTTGGCCGCTTAGGTGCTCTGGCTGACAGCTTGCTGACCGACTGGCTGCTGTTGTTTGGTCTTACTGAGGTGCCTAGAGTAGAGAGGGGTGAGACATTATGTGATGAATCTTTGAGCATAAACAATCAAACTATCATGGTTTTAGAAATGACAAAAAAACAAAACATACTGCATCCATCTGACACAGAAGAGCCAATGAATGTGGACCAGGTGGAGCACTTACTGTTGTTGTTGCCCACTGTCACTTTAACTGGAATAGGGATGGGAACTGTTGGATATTCCAACTTCACTTCAGTCTCTGCAGGATAAGGACACTCTCCTGTACTCTCAGAGTATGCATCCTGAGCATCCTCTCCATCCTCCTCCAGGCCGTCCACGGCCTCCTCTCCTCCCGCCCCGCTGTCTGTGAACTCCTGAGGGTCAAGAGCGGGCCGGTTGCTCAAAATCATCTCCATGGTGTCATAAAACTTACAAATCTTGTGATACTGCCCGTTGTTCCGTAGGTTACCTTCCTTTGCTAGCAAGTACTGTCTCTTGAGGCTTTTGATCCGCACGCGGCATTGTTCAGGCGTCCTTTCAAACCCCATCGCACCCAGCCTCCGGGAAACGTCGCGGTACACGAAGCTGTTTCGGAAGTTTCCATCCAGCGCCACCTGGATGTCCTGCTCCCCCCAGATGTTCAACAATGTCCTCGTCTCTACGTCCGACCACAAGAACCCCCGCGTTGTGTTTGCTTGCATAGCGGATCCTTACAGAGTAACCTCCTCCACACGGAGTTGAACGGATATGTTGACACTGCGGATTATGATGGACGTCTGCTCTTTGCTCTTAGCTGCATCAAAGCCGCGGGGCGCCGCCGTCCAAAACAACGTCAACAGCGACAACTGGCCATTTAGGTAGCTTAGAAGGACTTGTGTGGGTAATATATACTGTTTTCAACTTGGGAACCATTCCAATACCTTGTAAATATAAACTCTTTGTATGCTAGCCAAAGCCTAGCCGTCTATGTTTATCCTTTCACGTCGTTAGCAAAATACGTAACGTAGCGCTTTGAAATAAACTGACTGGGGATCGGTGTCCCGAACCCTTTTTACAACCTTTCCCTTCATTAGGGAAATCTAAAAACTGACCTCTGATCAGTCTCTGAGGGTAACTTCACCTTTCTCCGCCTGCTCATCAGCATGCTAGGTGTCTGCGGGGTCCTAGAGACCCTGTGTACTCAAAAAGCTGTCAACTCCTCCACCAACATGTAAAGGCAAAGGTACCAACAAGATTTAGAGTCGTATAATTTAGCTAGCTAGTTACAGCTACCAGGACGTTAACATAAACACACTTTCATAATACTTCCTTCACGTTACCTTTCCCGTTCAAACAGACCAATGTGGCGACAATCGACAGCGCAACTGTGATAACGCAAAAGGCGAGCAAGTGAATCTGTTGAGGCATGTTTTCATTAACTGCAGCCACCGACATGAAGCTTTCCCCCTTTGTTGAACACAGTTCTTCTTACCTAAACTGGAACTGCGTGTCAACGCTGACAACTGTACACAAATGATCCTGATCATGAGGCGCCCTAACCCAGTGCGGCAGTACAGGAAGGAGAGGCTTATGATGCCTTTAAAGGCTGCTCGGACACTAAAGATCCCAGTAGGTTGAGATCTGTCAACAATCAAAGAGCAGCCAGCACAGTTGAGCAGCTGTTAAAGCGGAAGTACTTAAAGCTGCTCTTCTTCTAATAGTCGCTAGATGCTGATATGAACAGAGGGCACTGATATCCCCCCAAATATGTATTTAATCACCATAATATCAACTGCAATAAAATATTCTAAGATAAACGGTAGCTATTCTGGGCTGACTGATACAGGCTAAAGACATCTGGGATGACATGGAACCAAGACAAACACATCAAATATAGATAATAATAATGTAAGCACAAGGACAGTTCCTTTTAATTTTGTTCACTGTATTTTATTTCATTGCTTTCATTCATTTCATTCTGTCTCCTGTGCATTAGTTTGTTAAATGTGATACTGCCCCCTGGTGGGATTGAAGACATGAGAATAGAATACATTTGCAATTATGGTGCGCCTTGTGTTTGCAAGAGGGATCATAATGCTTCTCAATTCATAACAATGGATTCATAATATTGATAAATAATTAAAAAGCTGTGTCAGTAAGCACACTATTTTGCTGTTCTCAATATGCTTGTGACAGTATGGCGAGCGTACATCAAGCTTAATATGTTCAGGTACGCTGGTAAACTGGTGAACGTCTGCATATGCTTGGAGTATGCTCAATGTCAGGCCTGTACATTTGGCCTGTATATTTGTAGATGTTCCAACCTCAAGGTATAAACATGACTTGTTGCTCACTGCATTTGTCAGAAATAATAATACTTAAAAAAAAATGTTTAAATCAGTTATCACATGTCTCACAATTTAAAAACTTTAAAAAGCAACAGGCTTTGAGAACAAAAATATACAAGCACACTTTTTACACGCAGTCCTGTATAACAACATTTCATTATGAAATGTAGAATACATTGAAACATATATAATATATAAACTTTTGTAAAACTCTTCTTAAAATGCATTGCTGTATTTGTTGTTCCATGCTTAGCAGAGAGGGACAAACCTTTGCACTCTCCCAACAAGTGTCATATATATATATGACAGCACTTGAACGCAGCACATGAACCGATGACACTGGAATTATTTTAAAATCTTAAGGGTAAACTTAAAATGAGAAGAATTTAAACAGTAAAATGTAGCCCGCTGTAATTATTCAGTAAGACAACGTTATTGCCTGAGCTTCATTTTGATAGTGGCTTCTCAAGTGAAAAGCTTCTCAAGTGACCCATTTCCTCTCCATCAAGTTTATTATTATTTTTTGATTAAAGAATCTGTATGTGTCATGGACATGGTCAAGTTTGAGTGCAAAAACGACCACCCGGTGATCCAGTAGCGCAAATCGGGCGTAGTACATAGGTTCTTTTATTGCCCTGAGTTTAGCCTTGAAGGTGAAAAAACACACAAATCCTTCATACTTGGCTGTATACAAATCCTTCTTCCTCACTTAAACTTGGTAGACCCAAGTAACAACCATGGCCCAACAGATTAAAGGCGCAAACATTTAAAAATGTGTTGAGGATAATATTTTAGTGCATTTTGCTAAAATGTTTGATAATGATCCTTGTATTTCCCGTTGTGTGGTATAAACTATATAACATCTTTTCTTTCAATTTCATTTAAATCTTAGATGAATATAAATATACATAAAACCTGTATCTTGAGTTTTTTGTTAATAAAATTTTAAAAGTAAGCTGTTAATCCTATTTGTTTTTGCCTTACCCACTTGTTGCTTTATTTTTCTCTTCACTCATATATTGTGCAAGATTTCTCAATCTTAAATAGCCTAGTTTACTCTTTAAACCTGTTGACCGTACCTGAAAGGCGCAGTCAGGGTTAAAAAAAAGCACCATTATAAATTTTAGCCCCTCCTACTTCCTGTTTCACCTCAGTTACTTTTTGAAGTTCACAGTCAGAAAACAGATTGAGAATGAGCCAACGCTGAATATCACGCTGTCAACAAATTAACTTTCGCTCATAAAATGGCGTTTTTCAGAGCAATTCGCGACCCACCTGGATTTCATTCTACGAGCTAGACCGTGTTTTTTGTTCCCTACGGATAAAAAGGGAAACAAGCTCTCCTGTAGCGGGACTGGGACAACCATGCCCGAGATGTCGAAGATGAAGAAGCCCGACGTCAAGGTCGTTATCCTGGGAGACATGAACGTGGGGAAGACGTCGCTTCTCCACAGGTACACCGAGAGGAAGTTTAAAGACACCATCAGCACCGTTGGAGGGGCGTTTTTCCTCAAACAGTGGGGACCTTACAATATCTCCATATGGGACACTGCTGGTAATACCTCGTTCATGTTATCTATTCAGCCTTCTCTCATTGTTTGTTTCAAACTCTTATCAAGCCTCATTCCTCCAGTTCATTAACTTGTGTTTACCTGATAACGCGTGACCCACCACCTGAAGCAATCACTGGCATGTGACCGCTGCACAGGCAGCACTTTGCAAACCTGCCCCTGCGCGCTATGTGAGTCTCACATGTAAAACATGACAGATTAAACTTCTCAGTACTAGTGCTAAAACATATAATATAAAAAATGCCATGTCATATAGAGCCCTGAACAATGAAGTTTTCAGGTCAAAACAGGGCATAAACGACCCGATAATCCAAGAAAACCAACCTTTAAAACAACTTCAAAATAAATATGTGCACAGTCCCACACTTTTTAAAAAATAATACCAGCTGCTTTATTTACTCATTTGATTTTAGGGGACATGCTGGTCAAACTATGTGAGAAAGTCCCTTTTTAACACATTTCTTTTGGCTTTGGGAATTTAAGGTAAATATTTGTTACACATCTTCATGATATGTAGAATACAATATAAATTCATTTCATTGGAGAGAATGATAGCTTTATTAATAATGAAAGCAAATGTTTGTTCTAGATTTATTTTGTTATCATATGGTAAGATGAATTTGAAGCCCTGTAAAGTTATTGCAAACACCAGCCTAACTCCTGAACTATTAATAAAGTGATTTTGAGTGGGCCAACAGAAAACCAGCTTACACTTAAAGGCCCTGTCTGTTATTGTGCATAGACCATATACTGTTTTATTAAAAAATATATATCGTGCTACGTGTGATAAGTCACTTCACTCTGTTTCCTGCTTGCCTAACAGATGTTTCAAAAAATCATGGCATGCTTTGTCTTGTGCTATATTGCCTAATATTGGACTATTCTGACATAATCAAAGTCATTGTCGTCTGTGTGCTCCTGGCCATGAACAGGAGCCTGAGATTAAGGCTTCAGAAATGCCAACCACTGCTAAAGATTTGACTAAAGATGGACAATTCCAAGTGGATTTAACTTATATCAAAGTGAAAAGCCTCTAAAACTACACTGTCTTCTAAAAAGTTGTGAGTTATATTAGTAGAAGAGCCTGTCTACATGTGTTGTGGCCACCATGACAACACAAACTGCAAAGGCCCTCATTCTGCCAGATAAATTAATCTTGAAATGCAAGGAGATCTGTTTTCAATTAGCCTACGTCATTAATCATTTAACCTTTAGGTCTCAAATGTCAAGAATAATGATGACTGTGTATCACAAGTTGCTGTTGCGTTGCCTTAAAGTTGACCAATACTTGAAAAACCCAGAGGACTTTAAACAATGATGATATGAAACCGAGAGGGAAAGCACGTTTTATGTGAAACTACAACCAGCTAATGTTGAGTATTGTTTTTTTTTTTACTCTCGGAAAGGACTAAAAGGGTAAATTATCACAATTGGTTTGTTGCTGTAAATTAAGTACAGGAATTGTACTCTTGAATTAAAAGGACTGATTCTACCAGTGAGTATGTAACCATCAGTGGTGAAAAATAATTGTCATTTATATCAGGCATGTTGCTCTGACCAATTATGCCTCCTTAGTAGGCTATGAAATAGAGAATACTGCTCATTTGAATGGAATGAATGTTATATACAGAAGCTGTTATTTCACTGTAATATTGACTACATATACAAACTCCTGTTTTTCTAGAACTACTGCCCCTAATTAACCTCAATGATCACATGCTGGTGGATTAAAATTCACTTTCTCTTTATTTAACTAATTTGGCTATGACAGGAATAATTTGGTGATCCATCTCGTTACTGCTGATGAATAAGCTGAAAACCGCACCACTTTCCAGGATTGGGTAAACATGAATTACAGTAAACCCTGTTAGCCAAATAACACACTTGACTAAAGCAGAGTTGGTGAGCCATAAGGAGGAGATGAGGAAAGGGCGGACACATAACCAGAAAGCCATTTCCTGTCTGTGTTCCCCAACTCCATGACCTCTGACAGGAGGCTGTTGTCCATGTTTTATTTAGTCACTGTTGTAGAATAATGCCAGATCAGCACCGAGTCATTCAACCATAAAGCTTTGGAAGAGTGGCAGTTATAAGGGTTGTCCTAAAATCTGTCGGATGTGTGCTCAGCACATTGGAAAAAAAGGCTCTCTGCTCCTTTTTAATCCTCCACTGATAATGACCTTTCCAGTTTGACGGTTTAGTGTCAAAGCCCCCTATGAAGGCGTTGAAGCTGCGTACCCTGTTCCTCTTAATAGTCACATGTCACGGCTATGACAGGAAGACTTGACACCCCGTGCTTCAACCTGTCTTTTCCAAACTTGCATACAGTAGTATTTTCCAGAAGCACAGTGAGACATAGTTAGGGGCTTTTAGTTTTTGTCACTTCAGCTAACAATGTGTAAGAAAAGAAATATCTTCCTACCTCAGACCTTCATGTATTCTGATATATTCCAGAAGGTATTTGTGATTTAATGAATGTAATGAATACACTTCAGTAGCATTATAGCTGTCAATCAATCAGTTGAGTGACAGAAAAGAAATCAACAAGTGTTTTGATAATCTGTTAATTGTTATACTTCAATCAAAGATGCCAAATGTTCTCTGGTAATGGATTTGCTGCTTGATGGTAAACAGAATATCTTTGGGTTTTGGACACAAAAAATATAGACAAACGGGTAAATGAGAAAATCATCAGCACATTAATCAACAGTGAAACTATTTATCTGCAACCCTAGATATAGATGGGTAGAAAATGCAGTCTAATGCAACAGTCCTGCAATAAATCCTACTTTCATGAAGGTTATCTGTTTTTGTTGAAACTGAGAAGTGTTGATTTGAATGTCTGGTAATTTTGCAGGATGTAGATTATGTTACTGTGGAATTATATTTTCTTATACTGAGAGATGTGTTTTTTTTTTGTTGAATTAGCTCTCAGTGGGGTGGACAAAATATTAGAGCAGCCTCCAAAAAGACCTATAAAGTTGAATCAGTACCTCAACATTCATAACCTTCTTGAAGTCAGGAATCATTACATGACTACATTCGTTTTAGCTAGGGCTGGGAGATATGGCCAAAAATGTTATCACGATAAAATATTTCATATAATTTAATATTGCTAATTGTCACAATAAATTTCATCAATAATTTTTTCGTAAAACTGTTTTGTTCCAGTTACATTTCAAGCAAAAAGAATAAAGCGTTTTCTAACACTGATGGTTGAATAAAACAAGGGATGTGAAGATGCGTACAACACAACTAATCAGATAATTTTAAAAATCATAGTTGGGGGTACCTAATATAGTGCTAATATTATCCAATGCCCCCAGTGGTATTCACGCACAATGTTCCCTTTCAAGAGTCCTGCATATTTCAACAACAAAGGTTGTTTCTGTTTTCAAACTGCTGACTATCTTGCACAACTTCTCTCTGTGCTGTGTCCCTCCGCAGCGCTGCTCATAAAGTATGGCTGTTTGAAGTCTGTGTTCATGGTCTCCGACGTTGACGAGCTCTCTCTGTCTCCTCAGGTCGCGAACAGTTCCATGGGTTGGGCTCAATGTACTGTCGAGGTGCAGCCGCGGTAATCCTCACTTATGACGTCACCAACTGGCAGAGCCTAGCAGAGCTGGAGGAGCGCTTCCTGTCCCTGACTGATACTGCTAACCATGACTGCATTTACGCTGTAGTGGGCAACAAGGCTGATCTCACAGACCCTAAAGCTCAGCTATTCCTGGATTCAGATGTGGCATCTGAGGACCGAACTGAGTATGAGGAGGAGAGGACAGAACCAGAGGTGCTGACTGCTTGCCCCACACCCCCTGCCTCCCCTGTGTCCTTCTCTGGGATGATTCTACAGAAACAGGTTGCCCCCGAGGATGCAGCGGCTCTTTATGGGAGAATACTGCGCTACAAGGGCCTGGAGGAAAACAGCAGCCTGCCTGCAGAGAAGATGTGCTTTGAGACGAGCGCCAAGACAGGCTATAATGTGGACACGCTCTTTGAAACATTGTTCGATCTGGTGCTGCCTACAATCCTGAGGAAGAGAAATGAGAACAGAGAGTCTCCTACCGTGGACCTGGAGGATTGCAGAGAGTCCAGCAACAAGCGGAGATCCGCCTGCTGCTAGGATCTGGCAGAGGAAGGTGGAGAGGCCGCCACCAGCGGAGACTTGTTTTTAAACAAAGGACAATCAATGGGCTGGTCTGCGCACCAAATACATACTGTGATGGTACTACTTATTTGCCTTGACTGAGAGCCAATAGCATTAATGATCTACTGGTAATGCACACAAACACATTCTTGATTCTGTGAAGTCAGTAAAAGCAACTAGCGTTCATAGTGTTCACTGACATTCTGTCTGTAAGGAAGGGAAATGAGCGCGTGCTGCGTTATCACTCGATGCTTTGAAACCTTCCACCCCAATGACTGAACCTGCACTTGATGTCTGTGAGCAAACAACACACATAAGCAGTCAATAACTGCCATTTGTTAATGTTTTGGAATGATAGTGGCACAAATGCAACAGAGCTAATTGTTGGGTGGTTGGCACATTGCACTGTGTTTATTATAGGTGTTTTTTGTTTTGTTTTTACACAAACCACTTATTTTGTTTTATGCTCCTTTTACTAGCATTGTTTATATTGTATCAGCACATTTGGAACTTTTCAATGAGTCAATACCATGTAAATTTTTAATACGCAGTCATAATAAAGATTTTTTCATTTTGCAGTCCATCTGGTCTGTCAGATTAAGATAAGATTGAGAGTAAAATGACAGAAGTATAACAAAACAACATTTTATATTTGCAATCCAATGAAATCATCATGTTATGAAATTTACAATAATTACATTACAGTTAAACAAATGTTGGTTCATGGAAATGTTTATTTCTAAAGTGTGTATAGGTGAAGTAGAACATTTGACCTACTTTCTGAATTCTGTTAAAAAAACAACTAATCTAACTCAGGATCAGATTAGTGACCACAGCAAGGATTTGCTGCACTCAGACCTTTGATCCAAGCTGTTTACATTCTGTCCTGTTGGTAGTTTGGGGCAGTTCAATAATTAGCAGATTTGTAAAGGAATATTAATGTGACATGAGTAGTATTATATGATAGAGAGAGATATATATATTTAAACTCTAAGGGAAGGGGGGTCAAGTTCATTCAGCTGATATAAATACAAAGGGAATCAGTGCACTGTGTGAATGAAAAATAAAGAGTTACAGACAATTTTGCAGTAGTTGATAAATGCATAAAACAGATTAACGGCTTGAAACACTGTGATATTATAAAAATAGGGTTTGTAAGAGCAATGGAATAAAAGCAGGATAATACTGTCAATAGAATGAGCCAACAGACTCATTCTTCAGTTGGCTGAGAAGCAGTGTTAGTGGCTTTTTGGTGGGCTGTACACCCTAAACAATAAAAACGTCTAGATAAACTGAAGCAGTGCGAACACAAGGGCATCTTTGGTTCAGCTGTAGTGTACGGTCTCTGATCGTTAACATTGAGTCATAGTAGCTGAGGTAATAAGTTAAACAGTAAGCACCAACCCACATTTAACACAAAAATACTTGTTTTCCCATAATGCTGTTTACCTCATTATGGATCTCTCCTGTTTTATCTACAGTGGGACGTTTCACTCAAAGCATCACAGTCATTGCATATGTGACCTCTGTGGCTCAGCGAGAAAGTTTTCCCCATTGACATTGGTCTAGTCCTTTTGTTTGGTTTAGTACATGGCTAGAGAGACAACGTTAGACCACTGTCAATGGAACAACTTTCAGTGCTAATGTAGATTCTCACAAGTTCTTCATGCAGACCTGGCAGCGGCTGATGCGTGACAGGAGCTGGCCTGCTTTGAGCGTCTCTGATGACGGCTCAGTGTGGAAAGACTGGTCTATGGAGGTTAGCCAGAAGCTATGCTTGTTAGCAAAGTAGTGGCATGTGCCTTTGGCTCCGTTACACTCAATGAATGGTGTTGTGCGGAAGTCCTCCAGGCAGGAGCCAGGCGATGACAAGGACTGACCACCGCCTTCATTTCCTGCTGCTGTGTGCTGTGAAGACAAAGGTGAGAGGGAATTAAATCAGGCAGGTGTGATGTCAAACGTGTCTAAAAGACCAAAACCAACAATGAATTGACCTACTAACAATTACTGTCTCTGAAGCAGAAGCCAGACATTGCTTATTCCTCTCTGGCATAAAAACAATTAAAAATACAAAAGTGAGTCATCGTTGTACTGGGCGACATGTTCCTTACAATGAACATGGTTAACTTTGAATAATACATCCTTCTTTCACCAGCACACCAAATCTGACGCTGAAAATACACAATTTACTCTGGTTTGAGAAATGTCAGGTTTTTTTGTTTGTTTTTGTCATGGCAGATAATGTAGCCAAATGAATCAAAAACAGAAAACTAAATAAACGATGGACGGTAGGGGGAAAATGAGGTGACTTCCTTGTCTGGAGGCAATACTGTTAGGAGATCTGTAAACCTACATGATCTCCAACAAGTTAGTATTGTACTTCCACAAAGTTAGGGGATTATGAAAAAACAGATTGGCAAAAAAATGTGGTCAAAATTAAAGCAGCAGAGGGCTGAGATATAATGACTTTGTCAGCAACATGGGTCAAGCTTCAAAAACGCTGAATCCCACAATTTCCACACCACCACTTGACAGTGCCTGCTAAAGAGAGCCTTTCTGATCGGTAGACACCCACATCTCTCAGCACCTTTCGATTTTATGACTCTTGATCTTTTCATTTAAACATATTTGGAAGGAAGACTAGGACCCACCATGAGATAGGAGTAGCCGATCCACATGCTGCGCCAGCCCACAGGACACTGTGGGATGGTGATGTCCTGACTGTGGACTGCGATGGCAACTGATGGAGCTTCGCATACTGAGCAGCGGCTGATATACGGTTTGATCTCTCTCTCTTCTACGGGCATCATAGGAAGAGGAGCAGTAGTTGACAACCAGTAGGACTTATCATTTCTACTTGCATAGTAACAAATGTCTCCAGGATTGCAGTACAAGAAGGGCATGGTGTTGAACCGCGGGAGGCAGGAGCCAGCCAAACCTGAGAAGGACAACAAACCAAATTATAGATGTTTATTGACATGGCAAATTTTATAAACAAATTAAATCTCATTCCTTTAATGCAATAAATAAATTACATTAAATAAGAAGGAAATAATTACCCATTTAAAAACAGATTAAGAAGTGAATTTTAAAAGATGAAAACAGCTGGGGGGGGGGGATTTACAGTCAAAAGATCCTAAAAAGTAGTTGAACACAACAGAGAAGTTTTTAACGTGAACCTTTAAATTATGAGATAATGTTTAAAGCTAACGTGTAGTAAAGCAGTAGCACATGTTGAATAGCATAATAAAGGCAAAGTGACTCAGTAATGTCAGTTATTCAGTAACATCTACCAAAAATTTGCTAACATTCAACACCATAAGCTAGTGGCCATACCAGACCAAGTAAAGATGTAGAATCCCCTGAATCTATTAAGTGGAGCTAGGGTGCATTTTATGACTTATGAAATCAACTTTTGATTTGCAATAGGAACAGCGGGGTATTACTTCTTTTAAAAGTTGCATAGTCTTATTTTAAAGGTGGTAAAAAATTACTTTGGAAATGTGTTCCAGCTGTGTGTGGCATGACAAAGTAGTTTCTGTTTTGGAGATAGAGTTTAACCAGTTTTGGAGTCTATAGTTTTATGGTATCACCTGTGGCAAAAGAACAAGCATTGGAAATTATTATATCACAAGTGAGAACACTGCCAGCACTGCCTATGTACACAAGAGAAGACTGTGCCAATCAAGTCTATTCTCTCTCCTTTTCGGCCCCACCATGCCACTGTAGCTCTAATTGAAATGTGAAATTTAAAACTTAAGCACACTGGCTAGTCTAAATGTCCCCAAAAACTGCCGGCAGTAAGATCTGATGAGCCAAACCTCTTTGGAATGTCTTCTGGTTCATTGGATCACAATGCCAGAGAAATGTAACGTGGGAATGTTCGCCGGACCGTCAATACATTCAGACAGGACTGTGCTGTAACTCACACTGACATACTGTATGTCTAGACAATGCACTGATAACAGATTTTTCCCCCAGCAACAAAATAAATTGAGATGGTATCTCTAGAATACTAACATGATTTATAGTTCACTCTGACTTACCAAGATCCTGGTTGTGGGCCTTTTCCTGGCCCTCGAAGTACAGCAGACTGTAGCCGTCCCACAGTTTTGACATGCCCACAGGACACATGGGCGTCTGCTCTGATTGGCTGTGTTTCACCAACAAGTAACCCACGCTGACGCTGCGGCCAGGCATACCAGGTAACCCAGGGATACCAGCGTTGCCGCGATGACCTATTGAGGAATGGGGAGTTCACCACTGTGTTTAGCAAAATGATCTAATTGTGAATTATATAATACATCCATACATACACATACTGTACATACCATACACACATATAGGGTGCATGTGGCCTAATTCTTTTATAACTTCCCTCAAACTCTGGCAATCGTCTCTGCTAATATGATTACATAATCATACAAATAGACCTTGAGGAAATCTCTGGCCCCCAGTTCAGGGCTTATTCATTCACTAAACCAAGTTTCACAAAAAATAACAATTACAAACCTCTTGGTAACTAGCTCCACCTTCTTTAAATCTGTTAATCCAGGATGATTAACCTAATCCTAAACTGCAACATGGGGTCAGACGCACCTTCCATGCCTTGTAGACCGGGATGGCCCATTTGTCCAACTTCTCCACGAAATCCAGGCACTCCTGGTCTACCGCCAACCCCAGGCATGCCCTTCAGCCCAATGGGTCCCATGAAACCTGTACGGTAAGAGGATATGTGTATGTTGCTGAGCTGAACATTTCTCTTTGGTGTGCTCAAGAACAAATATTGAAGACTAGAATAACTAACTAGTTTAACTAGAATAACTAACCTGGATCCCCTGGTGGGCCTTGTGGCCCTGGTCCCCCTCTGACCCCCTTTGGTCCTTGGATACCCTGCGGTCCTGGAGGGCCTCTCTCTCCTGGAATTCTGCGGGGAACTGGAAGAGGACCCTGGTTGCCATCCAGCCCACGGACGCCTGAAACAAGGAAGGATCATTTTATAACCAAGACAAAAACACAAAAGCACATATGTGGTAACTCGTGAGCAGCCAGTATGTGTTGTGAACTTGCATAATTTACCTGGGGGTCCAGTGTCTCCTTTTGGACCACGTGGCCCTCTTTCCCCCTTCACACCAGTCATACCAGGAACTCCCATCATTCCTTGCTCTCCTTTTACTCCTGTAAGAAAAAAAAGCATATGAAGACTGGACACAGGTCGAAGCTTGTGATCATATTAGCAAGACATATGCCACATGCGCCTGCAGACAGGTGCTTCAACAAGATTTTACAGGCTGAGACATAATTATTAGCTGAATGCCAGCTAAGACTTATTAAAGAACTATTAGTACTTTACAGAGGCATCAGCAGAATTGGAAATCAAAATGTTTAACTCACAGTAGCATAAAATTACAATATCTTTCCTAGCTTAGTTTGTGGGTTTCTTTGCAATAATTAGTGGTATTTTAAGCATTTTAAAATGTTTAGGTTATTTGACTCTTGAATATAAACTGTTGACGCTATTTTTTTTAGCTTATAATATGTTTTATTCGTATGATTATTTTATTAGTATGCTGTGTTG